TTACAAAGGTTCAAAGTTCATTAACTCTTTACACTACTCTAAAATGCAAGTAAATACCATTGAAACAGTTCAGAAACGTTTCCTTAGAAAGCGTTGCAATCGTCTACACTTGCGTGGTGTATTGCAAGTGTACGAGGCTCGTTTGGACTTGTGAAGTTAGACACTCTAAAACTTCGACGTGATTTCATTGACCTAGTTTATTTGTATAAAATATTAAGCTTTAATACTCATACTTAACTTCTTGTAAAGTTTTCCTTTCTTTGTAATCCTAGAGTTATTAGAACTAAGTCTTATATACGTACCTACGGCTCGCTTTACTGCTACTTTTAATGATCCAGTGAATAGGCTATCTCGCTCTTACTACTTAATTACTTACATTAAAAAAAATTATATATTTTACAACAATCTTCCAACTAACTGTAAATTTGTTTATTATGCCCTTCATGAGGTTTAAGTTTCTATTTAGAGTTAGTTATTATCAATTTTTTGGTTCGTTTTTTATAAAAATGCTTGTTTATACGTTTCCCTTACTAGCTTGCTTATGTTGCAATAGCAATGTTGGCCTCGTGGCTTCGACGTACGTAACGGAACGTGGTTTAAAATCTGAGGCCCAGACCTAATAAAGGTTGTAGCGCCACTGATTTAGCTCGCTTATGTTCTAATACAATTGATGTGTATGTCATATTTTCTTGTATAATTTTATGCATACACGTTGTTTTAGAACTTATAAATAAATAAATCTTAAAATCTCAATAAAATCAAAACGCTTAACAATATTTATTATTAACGGCATATCCAGTAAATTTTCGTTAATATCTATGAGAGCTACAGTGTCATGTCACGCGCACCGGGCGGTCTGCATTTAATCAAGGCCTTTTTAACTAAATTACTCGAGCTGGCCCTGAGTTAAGCGTTGCTCGCTAAATCAGGATTAGTGCTCGTAGCATTTTGCTACGTAATCATAACCGCTACGCAATTCCCGTAGCTTATGAGACCGCCCTCAGATAATGCTACGAACCTTGTAGCTCGCAGTTGGTATGGTCATATGACGATGAATATTACAAGCTGAGCAATAATGATACAAATAAAAGTATGATCGAGACAAAATAAAAAAATTACATTCGGAACTTTGATGTTGTACCAACAGATAGTGATATCCGAGAAAGCTTTAAGATTCATTATGATTTTCGGAAGTTAAGTAAATTTACTCGAATGAAATCACGTCTCACTGCAGCTCACATACACCAAAGATTTATAAATTATATTCATATACTTTTCCATTTAGACAAGACGGAACCAATTTTAGTAAAGCAACAATAAAAAATAAATTACAAATAAAATAAATAAATAAACAGAGCCGACATGCGTACGCATAAACAATTTGCGGATACTGAGGATACTGTTCCTACTGCCTAAAAGTGATGCCATTCTTTTCATACGAATCGCCCAGGAGTCATCAGTATGAGCCTTTGCAACCACGATGGAGGCACTGCAAAAGCATCCCAACAATAAAAGGCGTCATTATGGTGAACGCAAAAGGCACTTAGCGACCCGAAAGCACAGCTTACCCAAAGTGCGCTGAAGAAGTTTTGGCAGTAAGTCTTAAAAAGAGTGATTTCTATCTCTTCTGGATACAGCATCGAGCAAAACATACGCAATACGCATGTTGCCGCCAACGCCCTACGCTCTCGTGAAGTATCACGATTTTCCTCGATGTCTGTATTAAGGTAGGTATTTAAATGTTTCAACCCTGCTAATATGCAATTCATTAATTTTAATCATAAGCGAGAACTCCATGTATGCCAGCCTCAAATACCATGTTACATTTATCTACATTAATAATGTCTAAATACCCTTTCACGTAAACTGAGCGGTATTAGTAATTTTAATATCTTAATAATAATAATTTATTTGCAAGGATGTGGTACAAAATATGATGGTGGTACAAAATAAACTTCGCATATTCTGCCACACATAATGGCGGGCAAATTAAATTGTCTTACATAATTAAAAGGTAGAATTTAACATATTAGTTACATATTACATTACATTTTCATATCATCAAAGTCAATTATTAATAATAATAATAAATTATTTGCAAGAATATATAGTTGATCATATCAATCATTTCATAGCCAATTCTTATATTATTTTATCACATTATTAAAATATGTTATTAATTTAATTACTTACCTGAGCTGAGTTTCATTATCGGACGTCAAGGTAGAACACAAAACCATCCGTATCACCTCGACGTCCGTTGTTTCATAACTGAGCGTTTCTTTAGGCAGTTTTACCGAAGTACTTCTGAACCAATTCGACTTAGGCTCCTACAAGAAAAGAGCGTATCAATTCTTAAAACGACGGCGCACTTGCGAGCCTTGGCAATGTCAGTGTCCATGGGCGGTGGTGTCACTTAACATCAGGTGAGCCTCCTATTAAATAAAAAAAAAACCTTGAAATGATCTGAAGTTATTTTTGAATCAATACAAGATAGGATAGGAGATAGGATTACAAAGTACAATAAAATTGGCTTGTAGTGGACTCAATCCGATATTTTTATTGTGATCGTAATAGAGTTTTTAAACGAAGTTACGAGGCTTTAGAACTGATTAAAAGTGGTTTTGTTAGTATTTTTCTCTCATAAAAATTTATGCTGATAGAGATTAAACAGACCTTGTTAGTCGAATCAAAGAGATAGATGCACTACGTTGTATAGCTTATACTCTAAGCTTATAGTTTACTATTCATTGATACTGCGTCTGCCTTTTTCTTCTCCAGCCTTGCGATTCTGTAACTCACTTTTCGAACTCTCACAGCGGTTTTCGCAGCGGCGGTCGTGCTCAAATCAGTCGTAAAGCAGTCATTTTACGATTTGGCATTCTGATAAACAATAAACTACAAGCTCCCTCCTTATCTTCAGGTGCCACTTTATTACTAAACTTGAATTGCTGGGTATCATGCGGTAGATGTGATGCCGGTCCACTCCCGTGCGTTCCGCAACCACGACTTCTCCCTTCTACCAGCCAGTCTCTTGCCTTGAATATTGCCGATAAGCTGCAACAAGTCGTATCGATGATGACGCAAAACGGGGACACGTTTTGAAAGAAATGCGACTTTCCGTACTTTAACAGTCTGCATGGTCCCGATTAGTTGAAGGACTCTTTCATTCGTCACTCTGATGATGCGAAGCCATGCGACGGTTACACCACATCTCAAAAGCTTCGAGACGCCTTCTTGTGTCTTATTTAATAGTCTACTTGGTAGATGTAACAAAGTGAGAGTCGAACCCTCACAGCCATACATACACAATCTACACACATACATACTTCCGCCTTCCTAGTTTGGTAATTGGTTCTCAGGGTCCAAAAACTCCTGGTTACTCTAGTTCGATTCCAGGTAAAACAATCATTGTAATTTTTTGAAACTACTGTGGTTCCAAATGTACTTAGAAAAGATGAATGGACAGCAAAAGGTTAGCAAAGGTGATTTCATAAAAATCACTTAAGTTTAATAATATTTTAAGTTAAAATTTAGCCACACATAAGTTTCATTATTGTTCTTGTTGTCTCGTATTTTCCTACTTAAATGGAGTTCAATAAAATGGATAAGCTCAATTTAACGGACATACATAGAAATTGTAAAATTAATTTTAAATATAGTTACAACTTGACATATTTTGAAGGAGATAGAAAATGATTTCATCTCCAATTCGCAGACATGCGTCGCCAAGTGTGGCGCCAAAAGTCTCTGCCAGCCACAGACTATGAATTAATATAGATCTGCACAAATTGTTCGTATGACGAAGAAAAATGAAGATAAACTACGTATATTGTTAAAATATTTAAGAATAAACTAAATTTTTATTTAAAATTAAGACGAAAGACAATAAACTCACCATAATTACGTGATATAATATGTTATTAACTAATTAAGAAATATAAAAATTACGTAAAACATTATAATGTGTATGTTTAAAATAGGCCATTTAATACTGATATATATATATATATATATAATTAATTGGTCAACCACTAAAATATTTGACTGCTTTTTTTCGGGAAATATCGTAAAATAATTTACTTAGTAAAAAAACGGTGCGTGTATTTATGTACGCGCGTAAGAAGTTATACTTCTTTGGCTTTCTTTATTTTTTTTAAATATTAAATAATTAATAATAAATATTTAGCGTTAATAATTTAACAATATTTAATATTTAGTATATTATTCAATTATTAATTAATATTAATAATAATTATTATTTTATTTATTATATTATTAATTCAATTTAATAACTAGGTATGTTTCATAACCTTTTAACTAAGTAACAATAGGTCTTTGTGAAAAATCATTGCTAAATTTCTTTGAAAAAATAATTAAAACTCCTTTATTTGTTTAAAAGGTACTACAAATGTCATTATGGTCATTCAATTCTTCAAACGTCACGCATATTCTATTTCTTTTTACTTGTAGATTGTCTTATTCCCATCTCGCTCGCGCACGCTCGGCGCCCATACTAATATTTTTGTGTCACGGTGCGCGCGCATCGTAAAATTTCACTCTCATAAATTTTTCATAACGCGCCTAAAGAAGTATAACTTCAAAAATCTATTATAAATGAAATCTACAAAGTTTATAGTATGTCATAGTAACACTAACTTAAGTGAGTATAGCTTCTAAATAAACAACTATATGGATATATTTTACGGCGGAATTTTTTCCATACACGTAGTTTAACAACACGTATCTCTTTCAATAATCTTTGACAAATCTTCCCAAGATATGAAGCAAAAGTTGTTGCAACATTCCATTGGGGGTTAAAATAAACCCGCATTGATTCAACCAATCAGGAATACGTTTTGTTATAACGACCAATCAGAGGCCAGTATTCCCATGGAATATCAGTGTTTGCTGCATGTTGTTCAGTTATTTAAAAACTGGAAGAAATGAAAGTGAAAAAAAGGTTTTATGGTGAAAAATTGTTGTTTTAAACAAACAAAATGATTATTGTGTATATAGACATCATTCTATTAGTTATTTTGGTAAGTTTTAGATAATTTCTTAAGTAAATAACTCTAATAATTATATAATATCACTTTGTAATACATTAATAACCTAAAGCCTTAGGCTACCTTCTATTCTGACCCTGCTATCGAACAAATGAAACCTTATTTCTCTTCTTTTTCTGGTGCCACTTTATTGCGAAAGGCTCGTTGTTAAAGAACTTGAATTGCCGGGTATGGTATGATTAAAAAGCTACTCGGCGGATGTGATGCCGGTCCACTTCCGTACCTTCCACAGCCTTCCTTCTACCAGCCCGTCTTTTGCCTTGAATTTTGCCCATCAGTATAAGCTGCAACAAGTTGTACTAACTGTTGCAGTATCTGGCAGAATTACCAGCGCTGTGGAACACGTCTGCTCCACAGCATAATGCTCAGCCAGGGCCAGTTACTACCAGAACACACACGTTATACACTTAAAATGTACCTTATTCCTTTGTTTTTCTTTTTTCATTATTATTATTAATATTTTGTGTGTTACGTTAGTAATAAAAGTTATGTTTGTCTGTCTGTCTGTCGTATCGATGATGCCACACGTGTCCGAGACGACTTTCCGTATTATAACAGTCTACAAATCCTTATTTACATTTTATAAATTAGGTTAAAATCGATTCCCTTCGTTTCAGTTGCTACTTATAGTATTCACATGTTGTTATTATGGGTACCGAGTCCACAGATTGCGGCAAACTGGCCAAGTGAGTATTAATATGTATTTAAAATTTTCCGATTGGAATTCTTTCGTTTATTTATTAATTGAAGTTCACCACATTATACTAAATCTACAGTATATGTTACAAGCTATTTTTTCTAAAATATATGACAATTCCGAACCAATTCGACTTAGGGTCCTTCAAAACAGCGTAACAATTCTTAAAAGGCCGGCAACTCACTTGTGTCTTGAGCCTTCTGGTGATGTTTTTATGAGCGGCGGTGTCACTTAACATCAGGCCTTTTGGCCCCTGTAATATAAAAAAGGAATCATACATCTCAGTTTGTTCGTAGAGGTTAGGTAGGAGGTCATAAATTTAATTATTACTAGTAACAAGATGAAAGCGTTTAAAAGCTAAGTTGAGTTAAGCTAACTATGAATTTTAAACAAATAATATTATTAAGTTAGATTGAACTTTTCTATCAAGAACGGTTTCTATCCTGATTCCGTGAGACGTGACATAAAACGTGGTATTTAAAAATGCATCAAAAAAAAAAAAAATCAGTCAAAACATTAATCTAGCCGTTCATTTGTTAAAAATGGTATAACAAAAGGCAACTGACACCTAAACGTAATGTTATCTGTGGTATGATTAAAAATTTGACAATTAGAAGCTTTGAAGTTCATCGGTTAATGTGTTTATTTCTAGTATTAGCTTATCGGGCCGATTATCATTATCAATTTCACGACCAAGACGATCGAATCTCGACAAAGCCGTAATGCAATAAATGTGCCGTTGTGTCGGGGGGTGGATTCGAGAATAGTTCAGATTACAATTAAATGTTTCTTGTTTGTTTTTTTAATTTGATGTTTTGTATGTATGGTATAAAATTGATAGACTAAAAACAGCGTGATGACAAATTTTCAAAAGAAACACATATTATTATAAAATTATATTTTTTAAATATATCCACAAAAATTTCTATTTGGGTAATATAAAATTATATTTGCTATGTAAAAACCTCAAAAATCATATTAATGTTAAGTTTAATTTGTCAATTGTTATTATAGATGGCTCATATAATTGTTAAACATTAAACTAATATATAAATCTTATATCAGATTGCTCTAATATTGAAGCCTACAAAAGTTCTCTTCACACACAAGAAGGAAGGTGAAGCTGATCAACTCAGGTAAATAATATTTCTCAGAACTTTGCGTTTAAGCTCAAAAGTTGTGCTTTTTATTTTGGAAACGAGATTTAATGTTTTAGATAAAACATTATTTCTTACAGTTATTTTTATTACAAATTAAATTGTGATTTCCGATTTATAAGGCATTTTTTCAAAATACATTATTGATTAATTCGCAAATACTAAGAAAGTTGTATGAGCAATGCCCTCTTATACCACTTTAGATAGTTTCAACAAAACCGCATCTTCAAGGCACTTTTGGTAAGATCAAGTATGTCGAAAATGTATTAAATAAGACATACGGGTGTTACGCTTAGCGTTATACTTATAAAAAAAAGGAATACAAATAAACATATTTCCAAAATTTTACTGATAATTTGTTCTATCTAATATATATAGTATTATTAATTCATGTCATTGTTTTAAATAATTTTACATGTTATAGAACTGTCGTCGCCTACCAGAACCCCCTAACTGGAGACTACTGCGTCCACAAGACGAGGTCTCCGAAGGGATACGTCAACAATTTAGAGCCTGTACCAGACTCGCCAGATAGCGGGGTCTCTGATGAATATGAACCTCTTAATTTGGTACCGACTGTAGAGATCAACTCACCAGGAATACATCAGGTTTATTTTTACTTTTCTGATCCAAAATATATTGTTGTTGGCCTCCGAAACGAGTAACTAACGCTTCCTTTGCGGTATTTTTCACCAAAGTAGAGAAGGACCTGCAACAATTCTTGCATGTTTGTTAAAAGTCAAAAATAATTTATTCATATAGGTACACTTATGAATGAACGTCAGAAAAGAAATATATATTAAATGCTTCTAATTTTACATTTACTGCCAGTTCTCAAATCAAGGGCGTAGAAGGGAAGAGAAGGACTGGCAATAAGTTCTCCGTCAATCTTTTTAATCGCCAAGTTTTTTGTTTTACACAACGTTTGTAAGGAGCTGCAACCATTACACCATGTTCCACATGACAACTTAAGTAATAATAAAATTAAAAACAAAGATTTGTCCTCTTTTAGGAGGCATGGTGAAATAGGAGCACGCTCTTACATTCTCATGGAAACAACACGCAATTTATGGATAACTATATTTAAACAAAGCAAGTCTCTGAATGTGGGTTCTACTGATATGACAAGAAACTTGATAGTTAATCTTTTAAACCAAAATCGCAAAATCCGTTTGTATGGTAAAACAAACTAATGTTGACAACATATCTATTTCATAAAATCATACCACATATATAATTTTCTACAGTTTAAGTTATAATTGAATGTTTTAAAATATATGAGGATTACGGTGGACATACATTTTTAAACTTAATAATTACTTAATGAAATATACTTATTTTATTATATGATTTGAATTGATCCGCCTACTACTAAATATTTAATAGATAAAATAATATAATTTAAAAAATAAAAACTAAATACTTCATATTAAAAGCTCTGAATGAGTAAGGTTCACTCAGTTTTATTCGTGTAGAATTCATGTGATACGCGACAATTCTTGTTGATCTGCCAATTGTCTTAGGGAACTCATAATGATTTGTTGTGAATATAGATAATCCCATTGTTTTCAGATTCCTGATCGAGTGAAAACTCCAATATCGCCAGTATATGACAACAGTGTCATTAAAACCTGGAAATGGGAGTACACAGAGTATCAGATTTGATTGCATGATCACAACGCTACAATTTATTGCCAACTCATAAAGTTTTCTATTCTTCTTACGTAATTTACAAATATTCTTAACAATTATTGATAGATGACAGCTATGTCGGAAAAATCCAATTAACTTAAAACAGTTAACAAAATTGACTGAAGTGTGAACTGCGCACATGTTAGATAGACAACAAGAAGATAGCTATTGCGAAATATGGATAAAAGTATTATTAAGAATATCCATAACGCTAAATCACCTGCATCATGAGCACACCCCACATACACAACCTCACGTACATACCCTCACTTTCACACGAACACATAACAGCTGAATAAGGTATTACTTAGTTAAATGTATTTTATATATTTTATTATTTTTTTCCTTTCGGAAATGTGTGAACCTTTTTGTATAAATTATGATTTTCATCTTTGGCTATATCTTTAGTATATTTGTTTTTTGTTATATACAATTGAGTTAACTTTACGAAATAAATAAATACTGATTTTGTGTATTATTGAATGTAAGTACCACTGTAGTCCTAGGATATCACCTACGGTTTTGGCAGGCCTGAACTCCGAACTTCACAGAGCTTTGAGAGTAAATAGCAGAAATAACTGATTAGAGGTTTTTCCTCGATTAGACTTAAAAGACTATGGACGATTTTTAGTCTAGTCGACAAGTTGAAAATGGAACAAAATAGAGATACTGCTCTTAAAATTATGTGCGATAGCTCATTGGATCCGGAATGACGTCTAGAAAAATGTGCTAAAAGCGTGTATTAGCACATAAAAAATTGCAAAAGTTATAGACAATTAAAGATGAAAAAAAAATCGGTTGTCTGTAAAGTCGGTTTACTGACGATAGTTGAACGTGACAACGTCATAAAAAAATATTGATGGGATGGTTGCATTTTTCAAAAAAAATTAAATTTTATTTGTTTGATAGGTATTTTGTATGGATAGTAGAGAAGGGGGGAGGTAAATGGAAATCACATTGAATTGGAATTGATCAAGTTACATTTATTTGTACGCATAAATACAATTATGTAAATTTTAAATTTGGAACGCCGGGGGGGGGGGGAAAAAGGGGGGGGGAGGGAACCCCTCAGAGCGAGGTAACGCCTCAGAGCGAGGTAACGCCTCAGTGAGGGGGGGACGGCCCAGAGAGGGGGTAACGCCGCATGGTCATGGTTTTTCGTGCGGGGGGGAGGCGGCTCCATCGAATTATAAGACGTTGTCACGTCAAAATGGCATTTAGTTTTTTGCCAATATTTAATAAACTATTTATTTAAGAAATTTCAAATAAAGATTCTGAAAGAGGAGGAAATTTCCAATAAAAAACTCTCGGAACTCTATCTCCATTATTTATAATTTTAATTTAACGCTGAAAATAGGTCTGCGGGTGAAATTTTTAGGATTCGCGCGTGGCGTCAAAAGCGACTACGGCACATTAATTAATTTAGCACATTTTTCTAGACGTCATTCGGATCATCGGACTCGGATCCAATGAGCTATCGCACATAATTTTAAGAGCAGTATCTCTATTTTGTTCCATTTTCAACTTGTCGACTAGACTATTTTGATAATGAAACACAGCCACATTTTCATTATATTAAAACTACTTAATGCTACTTTGTAACGTTAGTTCCTCGAGTCTACTTCGTTGTATTTTAAATAAAGTGCTAATACTGTTGAATGCTTTAAATTCTAATTACTGTTGTTAATTCAGATGTATAAAAAACTATAATAAAACAATTGAAAACTATTATTGTTTTTATTTTACTTTCCTTTATATCGATATATTGATTGTCTTCAAGCAAGAATATTATCAGACCTAGAGACAACAGCGTCGGCAGAGGAGCATCCGACAAGGAGATAGTATACTTATACTCTCACTATACGTCATTCCAGCTTGCTTCGCCTCTGCAATGATGCTAGGTATGTTTTGGGGAGCCGCGTTTCCTCTTGCCTTGTTGATACTAGTCGAGGACTTGCTTGGCAATGAGACTTGGATCCCTCTTGAGCGTATAGCCCGCCCTCCCATTTCCACTTCCGGCTTCTTATAGACCTGTCAATTGGCACCCCAGTGCATAGCTCCAAACAAGTTAAGGGGCTTTAAAAATATAACAGTTACTAACTGGACAAAATGTATCTAAGTAGAGGCTAGCAACCATAATCCTCTATCTGCACCGTGTGGTTTTCCACGAAGAATTTTCATATTCCCTATTTGCGCATTTCTATTTAGTAAACGTATAACGAAAAAGGTACAGTAATGTTTCAATGTAAGCGGATTTCCAATTTGATCGTGTATTTTATAACACGAAATGAATTGTGCTCTAGTTTTTGACAAATAAAATATAAGTTTAATCTGGCGTGGATTATACCCTAATATTAATTTAATAAAAAGGAATCAAAGCCAGCATTTCCAGATTATAGGAAATAAACGCTTACGCAATATAGTTAAAACATTAAAAATATATCGTAAGTAGTGTGTCGGCCTTTCTTTTTATGTATAAATGGGCAAACGGGCAGGAAGCTAACTTGACGTTCAGTGAAACCGTCGCCCATAGACACTCACACTGCCAGAGGGCTCGCAAGTGCCTTGCCGGCCTTTTAAGAATGGGTACGCTCTTTTCTCGAAGGACCCATGTCTATTAAGTATGATTCTCAATCCTAAGGCCGTGGTTCAAACCTCGGCTATCCACCAACAGATTATTATTTCTATGTGCGCAATTAACTTTCCCCTCCTACTCTTACAGTGGCGGTTAATGTCGTGAGGAAACCGGCATGTCTTTAAAAAATCTACGAAATGGATCCCATCTGAGCCCAAGATTTTATTAATATAAATTTTTGTTCTTAAAAGTCAAATAGGTGTCATGTAAATACAATACTACTGTCATAATTTAGTACCGTTTAAATGTTAATGATAATTTAGTAAGAGAAACTGAAAATTTCTTACTTCCACACCGAACATGTAAAACTGCTGGATTTCAATAAAACTTTAAAGTAGAAAAACATCCAATGCAAGTCTTTGAATAAAAACTTTATCGAAGGAAACTTTGAACATGGCAAATATTGGTGCTATTTTTTACATTCCCTCGAGGTGAAATATTTTCTTGTCTTTTCATCTGTAAAAATATAATAACTAAAAAGCAATTTAGCATCAATTTCTTTTGGGTAAGTTTTGATTGGATTAATAATTATACTGGGTTGGACTGTCGAAAAAACAGAACATTAAACGACGGAAAGTTGCCTACCTGGGCCAAGTGTTGCGCCATGCTACCACCTTCTTCAATTAATTATATTGTAATTTGATCATTAAATGTTTTTGTCAAACGAAGCCCTTGACCAATTTGTATCGGATTTTGCGTCGTTTACGTGTAATATCATATATATAAAATTCTCGTGTCACAATGTTCGTTCCCATACTCCTCCGAAACGGCTCGACCGATTCTTAGGAAATGTTTTATGCATATTCAGTAAGACTGTGAATCGGCTACTATCTATCTTTCCAACCCCTAAGTGATAAGGGGATCCATCCCAAAAAGATTTTTATTTTTTAGAACATTTTTTTTGGTTTTATGATACAGCATACAAAAATACATACAACCCCTAATTTTCATCCCGCTACGATATACCCCTATTTTTATTATAGTAGATAGTTATTTTATTGAAGTAAAAAAATGTTTCCTAGAAATAATATATATGGCAAAACAACGTTTGCCGAGTCAGCTAGTTTATTTATAAGAAACTAGCTGACTATAGCGAGCAAAATTATTAGAAGATAATTGGACAGTGGTTGTTTTAATATTAGTAGCAAAAAGTGGATCTCAAATATAAAGGTGGAACCATCTATCACTTTTCAGATTTTACGGTAACATCGATCAGTGCCGCCGCTGTACTCGTTACATGCAACTGTTAAACCAATGATATGGCAATTTTAATTAATGTTCTCAATACATCATCATCAGAGCAGTGTTGGCCTAGTGGCTTCAGCGTGCGACTCTCATACCTGAGGTCGTAGGTTCGATCCCCGGCTGACCAATGGACTTCTATGTGCGCATTTAACATTCGCTCGAACGGTGAAGGAAAACATCGTGAGGAAGCCGGCTAGTCTGTATGTCTTAGACGACTGCGTGTGTCTTCCTATTGATTGACAAATCATCATGATACAGAAATCTGAAGCCTAAAAAGACAAACATTAGATATCTTGCATTTGTGATGTGTCTGTTTCCTTATTGATAAATAAATAAAAGTAGTGCCTTATCCATATAAAAAATTATCTTTTTCCTCTGTGTAAATTGAAGAGAAAAGGCGAACAGAGCACTTTATCAATCTTTCAATTTGGTCCTCTTGTCCTCAGACGAATTGACTCCACGGTACCCCTTGATAGCCCAAATTGTGTCTAATTTTCATTAGTTTAATCAATTTTACGCAACACTGGGAAAATGAAGAGTAATGTTTTACTTCGTTTAGTCTTCATTAAGGTTTAAATTTATTTTATTTTAACAAAAGATTAGTTTATAATATAAAAAAATAATATTAAACATCATATTGTTCCTGTCCGTTTTGAATTTACGAATATATACACATATTTTTATTTACAATATGTCAAAATATAACCGAATCTATTAACATTTATGCATATACGAGTATGTAGCTATATATATGTTTGGCTCAGCTCTACTTTGTCACGAAGTCAAATTTTATCACGAAGATTAGAAAGGAAACATTAAAAACATAATTATAATGAATAAACACATTTTTACTTTTATTAGAGTTCTGAAAACATTTTACAGTTGAAGACGCCACACGTGTGCTACGCAGAAGTTCGAATTGTGACGATTTACGACTAAATTTGGAAAATGTTCCTTAGAAAGTCAAGTAGAATTACCAGAAAAAACTGCACGTTAAACATTCCATTAGACACACAAAGGGTATTAATAAAATTTGTAAAGGAAAAATTATAAATGCATTTGTCGTATGTCCTACGGGTTGGTACTTCACAAA